AAAATGATGAGCAAAGTCCTTATCTGAAACTAGACTGTGAAACAGCCCAGGGTTGTTTCAGTGACGATGCAGCAACAAAGAGGCCTTGATACATAGAAATATGCTCATCAACACGTAGCAAAGTATTCAGACCAGGTGAGGCTTTTTGAAAATATGTAAAGCAATTCAAAGGCTCTGTGGCATCCTGTGCAAAGATAGCAGTCGTGATAATCTCAAGGCTTTGAGTAGACGGATCAAACATTCAGCAGAGATCCACACTAATGATGCTCATTTGGGATACAATAAAGGTTTTCTTTGTGTCTGGATGGTGATGTACAGGTCAAGGATTCTGACTGCACTGCCCTATAACCATATTTTAAACAGAAGTATGAACTCTTGAGTGGATCGACTCACAGTATGTCTTCATTCCCAACCTCTTCTTCATCTCTCTACGGTCTGCTTGTCTCTGGATGTATATACATGAGCGGAAAGAAGAAGTTATGAATAATTTGTGAATCACTTTCAAAGGTTGTACAGAGCACACGGGGATGAAGTGCTGTTAGATTCTGTGTTGTGTGAGAGGGAACAGAAGGAAAGCTGATCTTTTTAACTCGATTTAGTTTCTGCTCTCCAGATGTCGTCGGAGTTACTACGTATAAGTGTAAACGTCAGAGGCTGTTATGATCTCTGGGTTTGTTTCCTGACATGATATCAATCATATATATATTTTTTTATAGGGACGGGGACACACTGCTCCATTACTGACATTAGATATTGGGCTGATACTGACTCAAATAGCTGGATCGCGTATTGATGACGATGGGGCCCGATCTATTCAATAAGATCTATGTTTAGATGTGATTGCACATGCTCGCACTACACTACATCATAGCTAGTGATATGGAGCTTCACAACAAACATGTCAGCTGTTTGAGGTATTTTACGCTCGCTTTGACAACGAGCTCCTCTTGGAATATCTGCAAGCCACCGTTGCTGGTGCACAACATTATTTTATTAATAAATAACAATGCAGGACATTTATGACATTTGGTGACACTTCCTGATGTCACTTCCACACAGTGAGGCATACCGCTTATTAATTCAACACTTGTACAGGATCGGTACTGCGTCTGATCAGTGCTTCCCCAAACAGTTACTCCTTGTTGTCCTCAGTTTGCTTCCATTTGATTTTTTTACAGCAGTCTGTTGCGTGATGTTTTTGTGTCGCCTTCGGTACGACATGTGGGACGTTTCCTCACTGTACATCCTTGGGTGTTCAGTGGTTGAGGGTGGACATTTGAAACGCAGCACAACATAGTTCAAAGTTATGGATCTAAGTTTAGCCGCGAGCCTATATAAGCATGTGGCTCATGTTTACTCCATAGCGTCTGTCCACCAATCAGCTCGTAGGTTTCCCTCACTAGCCTTCTAGCCCTTTTTTGGGAAAGCGTACATCGAGAGGTACACAGTTCATGTTCTGGTGTCGGAGTCAGCTGTCCCCTTTTAGAAGAAGTGACATTTTGAACCTGTGTTCAACATTCTGTGAGAGATGAATCCATCACGGAGATGAGAGGAGATCGCCAGAGGACGTGTTGTATTTTCAGTAATGAGTCAAAACTCTAAAAACAACTTGTGTATCAGTAGCTTCAATGTTTGCATTAACACTTTATCTCACCGAGTTGAGATTTGCTCATAGATCTGATGTATTGCAGCACAGCTTTGTCATGTTTTGTCTCGGCTCAGATGTTAGTGAGCAGAATACAGATGGAGCGCTCTGTGAGCGACGGCGCTCTGACGTGCACACATGTTTCCTCTGAGTGATTGTGAATATTTTCACTGCTCGCCTCCCTCCTCTTGACAGCCAGGCTGACGGGGCGCTAACATGACTGTCCATGTGTGCCGCCTGCTCCTAACATTGATATCTGACCGCTCCAGTTTGTTGTGGAATATTTCTTATGACTAGTCGGGAGAAGAAAGTGAAGGTTTTCAATCAATGTAAAGTAAACAGAGTTTTGATGAACGATCAAGGTTTGTAAAGTCAATTTATTTGCTTGCAAGCAAAGAGAACAGTCTCTCAGACACATTGCAGTGATCTGTATGAGTGCTCTGCCTAAACAGTCACAATGCATGAACATTTATGCTCAGACAGCTTCCTGTTATCTGCTATGCCAACAAGAATACACAAAGGACACAATAAAAGGCAGGTCATCCTTCGAGCCTTAGTATACTCCATTTTAGGAAGATGTTTTATCTCCTGTTTGCAAATCCCTTTGTTCACAGTTTGCCTTACAATAAGCCGTTTAAACACACAGCAGATGCTTCCTTTGAAGCCACTGTGACATTGTTAAAATGACCATTGCAGAGACAGAATAGACATTCTTTACCCTCACACATCATATATGCATGCAAAGGTTTACGCATTTACAACTTCAGATAATGCGTCATAAAGGAAGTTAAAAGTATTTCAAACAGATATACAAGATAACAAGACACCTGGATACTAAACTAACAAAAATCATCTACTGAAACTACTGTTTGGTGTCTGCACTTTTAGGACTTACATTCTTCAAACCTTCACATGAGACTATGACATATTTTCCCGTTACAAGTTTCAGAATCACATGGTGTCTTTGTATCTGAGCTCTGCGTCTTTGGGACTCTTCTGATACGATAACCAACTGACAACCAGCTGTCTCTCCTCTGCTGTTTCTTATGGCTTCTTATCCTTTACATTCCTAATCTGTTGTTTTATTCTCTGTCGTCATACGCTGAGTATTAAAGTGCATATAACATCATGCATGGAGGCGCTAGCTTTGCAAAGATACGGAGGCAGAAATGAAACTTGAAACGCACGCTGAGAAATGAATGAATTCATTCAAACCTTTTTATTTAAGCCTCGGTTTCTCTTTTAAATACACAGAGTTCAATAAATCAGAGGACGATACTCGGTGAAAAGAGTGAAGTGGTTTGAGATCACCGCCTTGAATTGTCCCGGAGTAGAGAGAGTGTCGATCTACCGGCCGATAAATACAGTTGTGTGAAGAAGTGTTTGCCCCCTTCCTGATTTCTTATTTTTTTGCATGTTTGTCACACTTAAATGTTTCAGATCAAACAAATTTAAATCTTCGACAAAGATAACACAAGTAAACACAAAATGCAGTTTTTAAATGAAGGTTTTTATTATTAAGGGGGAAAAAAAATCCAAACCTACATGGCCCTGTGTGAAAAAATGATTGCCCCCCCCCCCTGTTAAAACATAAATTAACTGTGGTTTATCAAAGTAATTGAGATCTATCAGTCTGGAAAAGGTTACAAAGCCATTTCTAAAGCTTTGGGACTCCAGCGAACCACAGTGAGAGCCATTATCCACAAATGGCGAAAACACGGAACAGTGGTGAACCTTCCCAGGAGTGGCCGGCCGACCAAAATTACCCCAAGAGCGCAGCGACGACTCATCCAAGTGGTCACAAAAGACCCCAGAACAACATCCAAAGAACTGCAGGCCTCACTTGCCTCAATTAAGGTCAGTGTTCATGACTCCACCATAAGAAAGAGACTGGGCAAAAATGGCCTGCATGGCAGAGTTCCAAGACGAAAACCACTGCTGAGCAAAAAGAACATAAAGGCTCGTCTCAGTTTTGCCAGAAAACATCTTGATGATCCCCAAGACTTTTGGGAAAATACTCTGTGGACTGACGAGACAAAAGTTGAACTTTTTGGAAGGTGTATGTCCCATTACATCTGGCGTAAAAGTAACACGGCATTTCAGAAAAGGAACATCATACCAACAGTAAAATATGGTGGTGGTAGTGTGATGGTCTGGGGCTGTTTTGCTGCTTCAGGACCTGGAAGACTTGCTGTGGTAAATGGAACCATGAATTCTGCTGTCTACCAAAAAATCCTGAAGGAGAATGTCCGGCCATCTGTTCGTGACCTCAAGCTGAAGCACACTTGGGTTCTGCAGCAGGACAATGATCCAAATCACACCAGCAAGTGCACATCTGAATGGCTTAAGAAAAACAAAATGAAGACTTTGGAGTGGCCTAGTCAAAGTCCCGACCTGAATCCGATTGAGATGCTGTGGCATGACCTTAAAAAGGCGGTTCCTGCTCGAAAACCCTCCAATGTGGCTGAATTACAACTATTCTGCAAAGATGAGTGGGCCAAAATTCCTCTACAGCGCTGGAAAAGACTCATTGCCAGTTATCGCAAACGCTTGATTGCAGTTGTTGCTGCTAAGGGTGGCCCAACCAGTTATTAGGTTTAGGGGGCAATCACTTTTTCACACAGGGCCATGTAGGTTTGGATTTTTTTTCCCCCTTAATAATAAAAACCTTCATTTAAAAACTGCATTTTGTGTTTACTTGTGTTATCTTTTGTCTAATATTTAAATTTGTTTGATCTGAAACATTTAAGTGTGACAAACATGCAAAAAAATAAGAAATCAGGAAGGGGGCAAACACTTTTTCACACAACTGTAGATATGATTTATAGATATTGTGATGCACAATGATGTCGTCTAAATTGATAACAACAATGAGAAAACCATGTGGTTATTTCGTATAGACTATTCATGTATTGAGTTACCAGAAAACATGCTATATCATTATCGAGATATAACAATACCTCTATCGACATAGAAGGTTTTGGCCATATCGCTCTATGTTGCAGATCATTTTTCCATGTGTTTGAGGTACAAAGTATTGAACTTGAGTTCAGACTACAAACACGTAAGATGGTCAGTAGAGCGAGTTTGAGAGGCTCCTGTGGGCCAGACCAGCTCAGATGTTAGACAGGGTGTCTGTGCCAGAGAGGAACAAGCAACACCTGAAAGACTTCCTGGTTCCTGTTGAGCCTCACGGGTGGGAAGGAACAAGGGAGTGAGATCAAAGAGGAGGAGGAGGAGGTGGAGGTGGAGATGATTCAAAGAATGCAGTTGGCCTTGAGCAGCTTGCAAGAATACAAGCAAGTTGATGCAGGGTTTTTAACGGTGACATTTTCTCCCCCTTTCTGTGTTCCAGGTACCCCGGTCGATATGTGTGTTGTTCAGAGCAGAGCTCGTCTGGCCCTGGACAGTCGGCGGGGGACGGAAACCCCGAGGGCCAGAAGCAGGACTCCACGCAACACCAGGTTTGTGCCTTTGTGCATGTTTTAAAATCAGTCGGTCACATTAAACATTTGATAAACGGCTTTAATAACGACTGTTGTGGTCTGATCTTTGACGGCACTTTCTCAATACGAAGGGAGCTCAGATTTATCTGACTGCTTGTATTAATTGATGACATTTGCAGTTGTATTGAGGATGCGACACATTAAGATGCACTGAGAGTCGTTGTGCGTTGGATTAGTTGACGGGGGATTCACACCTGTAATGGTTGGGTGTTCAGTGTGGTTAACATCGCTGGTTCATCTCGTTGGGGCTGTGGGACGGTGAGCAGTATTATTAGACTCGCACCAAAGGGTGGAGGTGGTAGGAGTTGGGTCAATCGCTTACTTGACCTGGTGAGAAGTAGGCGTGAAGAGAGGAGGAAGAGGAGAATGAGGCGAGAATGGTCCTGGATGGATGGGGGGGGTAATTGCATAAGTCTTTGTTGTCGATCCACCATATTTCTTTACCTTTACGACTGATAATCTCGTAGGATTGAAGCGGTGTCAGGGACGCTCGTAAAGAGGGAACACACTACGTAAAGATTAGAGCCCCTTTCTAGGTGAAAAACAAAATACTTATACGTTGTCACGGCCATCGGGTTCTCTGTGTAATGAGTGATATAGGATAACGCCCTGTGGGGTTAAAGTTCAGAGTATACAGAGTTACCCAATCTCTGCTTTTTCTGTCCTTTTCTTTATCACTGTATTGTGCGTTTCAATATCAATACTGTTAGACTATGTCATACGTTAGAAAACGATTGAGTGTGTCCCAATAAACAGCATGTCATGTAGGGTTTTATAATTTCATGTTTTTAAATATTATTGCTTATTATTACGTCTGATATACAGTGTCTTATGTGGTTTTAGTATTTATACATATTTTATTTCTTACTTTATTTGCCTGAAGTGGACTGTTGCTGGCTCTGGGTGGTTAAATATGTGATACCCTCAGCTCTTATCAATGTGTGTGTGTGTGTGTGTGTGTGTGTGTGTGTGTGTGTGTGTGTGTGTAATATGCACATGAGTGTTAGAATGAATGATAATTTGGGGAGCGAGTGTGTTTTGGTGTGTGAGCCCAGAAGAAGGGGAATCATTGTTAATGCTCCAGAACCAAACAGGCGTTCAGCAGTCTGTCACTGGCTGTATAACACAAGCTTTGTTCATCAACAAAAGACTGAACAAAACCTGAGATGCAAAGACCTTCTGCATTTCACCTTTCTGCAAGAAAATGCTTCAACATATGCTGTCAATAATGTCTTGTAAAGATTTAAATTGTCATCCTGCTTCATTTTTAGGCTTTAATATATAATATAACTGCTGTTTATTTATTATTTATTTCCTCTTTAGGTGTTGGAAGAATGGACGACACACGCATCATATGATATGGGACTGGAGACAGAGAGAGCAGCACTAGACGAGCTTGCGACACACAATGTACACCAAGAACAGGTAATGTCACACGTGTACCGCTTATTAAACGCTCTCACAGCTGCTGTAGATAAAGTTAGCCTGACAATATGCATCAGAACCACGACGGTGCAAATCTTTAAAATGGGAGAAACAAAAAGAAGCACGAGATGAGAGATCAGTGTATTTGAAGTAATATGCATTTGCTTTAATATTCGTTTTCTTCATGACTGCACACTTGTAGAGGACAGTTGTCTGTTGTGGTACTTTAGGGAAGCCTTGCGTATAACATACAGCCACGTTTCTTTCTGCCTCTGCCACTGTAATGTCTACCTGACATTTTTAACTTAATATGACCACGCATGATTGTCATGATAAAACATTATATTGACGTATCGCCTTTCTTTATTAAAATAAACTTGATGAACTTGTTTTGTTTATCTTTTTGTCTTTTCTCTCACCAGACTGTGAATCCTCGGGACGCTGAGGTGGAGGAGACCAAGACTGACCCAGAGTCTGATACTGTACCTCTTGCCTCTGAGCCAGAACTCCACCCAGAACCCCCGGCTGATGTGGACCTGCAGACCGCAGACACACGGGACCATGACCAGGAAGTCCCTGACTCCTCCACTCCAGAACCAGTTCCAGCACAGGGCCAAGTGTCCACAGAGACCGTCAGCGACGCCCCTGCTGCACACCTCGGCCTGGACTCAAACCCAGCCACATCCCCAGATGAAGCTGACAACACACCTACCTCACAGAGCGCCGGCCAGACCCACACAGGGTAAGCCCAGATCCACTTCCTCAATCCAGAGACCTCTTTCTCTGGCATTAGAAGTTGGCTGTAACCTCAGAGGAGTCACATTGGCAAACTGAAATTATAATCTTAGATGGTTAAAGCCAATTTCAACCCAGTCCACCATTTCACATGTTATGATTTTGTTCCCTTTTGTTTTTATTCTATTCTATTTTATTTTATTTACCCACTGTTAATGACTGATCACACACTGAAAGAGGAGCTCAAAAGAGAGTTGGTCTGACGGCCTGGATATTTCAAAGTCACTCCTCATGGAACTGGTGGCCGGCGTGAAGAAGCTACATTTACGGTGACATTTTGTCTTGTGGACTTTGTGACGGAAGTTCGTGGACATTGTGGAGAATCGCCAGAGTGGTGACGTGGAACTTTGACCCAAGATTAGTCTGAATATCTCCGGGGTTGAACCTTCAAGAAGATTATTTCCATCCAGAGGCAACTTTGGCATTCGCCTCCTTCCTCAAAGCAACATCGGGACATTTAAAGACTCATCCGCCTCCCCACCAGCGAGCGACCTCTCCACCCCCCCTTTTGTCCATCCATTTCTTTTCTCTGCTCTCTCCCTCTAGCTCTCCTCTCTCCCTCGTCTCCTCCCCTTCCTCCTCTCTCTCCTTCCTCCCCAGTGCGAGGACGTGTGGTAAACGCCATGTCCTTTCTTTCCCTCAGTGCGGTGAGGGTTGCCAGTGCAGGAGATGAACTCCCAGTAGACAAATTTGTCTTTGCTGAGCACTCTGGTGCACAGTGCGGAGTCATTCCCCCCGAACTGGCAACCTGTGAAAACTCCCCTTTTGGCAGGCCTCTCTTCAGGTGAGTTTTTCTAAACCCCCCCGGAAGCCAATCAAAGCACAGAGACAGGTAATCACGGTACAAGCTACACCTCTCTGCTGTGCGCAACCGTCGACCGCTGGCCTTGCTCTCCACTTCTGCTTTTTTTTTTTTTTTTTTTTTTTTTTTTTTTTTTTTTTTTTTTTTTTTCTTCCCCTGTTTCCATCGTTCTGCCTGCTCACAACCAAGGTCAATTCTGTCAAATAAATGGATTATAAATGGATTTTTAAAAATGTTTTGCAGAGTGCTTCCTTGTGTTCTCAACCCCTCTTTATCCTTATTCCTCCTCTCTCCATCACCATCTCTTCCCTCCCTCTCCCCCTCATTGGCCCTGTGTCTGTGCTATAGTGTGGATGACGCCGGCATAGAGGACCAGCGGTCGGACCAGAGCCAGAGTTCTGGTCCTGAAGCAGAGGTCCAGTCTACTCCAGGCCACGTGGACCAGGAACAGCGGCAGCAGGAGCTGGAGGATGAGCTGTCTGATTTGGACCAGGAGGGCAACATTTCTCAGAACCACCAAGAGAAGCAGGTCAGCAGCTTCAGTGCCGTTTTGAGCATTATAGTGCTGAAGGTATCGGGATGGAACATTTAAAAAATGACAGCCGTCCGTCTTTCTGTTGAACGAGACACAGTCAACATGCTCGCTTCATGTGACACAATAGCCATCCTGCTAAAATATACTTAATATTATTATTACACTATTCTCAAAGACCTTCTGTGATACCCATGTCTATAATGCATTATGAACATACTTATAATGTGGTTTTATCTGCTTACAGCACTGAATAGTCAGTTATAAGCACTCATAAATATATAACAATAATCATCAGCAAAGAGTAATATCATTTTAAATCTTTCTATAATTATTTATAATGTGCAAGAACACAAAATGTTGCAAACTTAATTTTTACTTTACTTAAAGCAAACAATTACCTCTTAGACTAACTTGTAAATGCATTATAATACATAACAGTGATTATAATGCATTATGAAACTTGACCGTATAAGTCATTCTAAAATGTTTCTTGTTATGAAGCATTATGAATATTTTATGAGTGTTTATAACTATGACTACACAATGCTATAAGCAGAATATAATAATCATAAGTGTTTATAATGCATTATAGATGTGTCGTAGAAAGTATTACAGTGTTGCAGTTCTCAGTGTTGCAGCTCACACCCCACTGAAGTGTGCTGGGTGGCCTGACGGTGCTGTTTGTCATTTTGCGGGGTCAGTCCTTTCAGTGACACTTCTCCTCACAACTGCTGTCTGGATTTCCATGAAAGCTATAAATATTCAGCGTGAACAGCTGTTTGAGCAAAGGGCAGCTTTTGAATGTTCCAAGCAACAAACGCTGAGTTGACGTGCTGCTTTCGGTTGCTTTTGTTCACGGTTGAAGGATAATGAAAGACGAGTGTATCCGGTGGAACTTAATCATTTTCAGGGGGGATTGAGCGTGTTGTGTTTTCGTGCATCTGGCCTCTGATCTATATGTGTGACTCCTGAATAACGGTGTTTACATAATAGGCCGTCTAAGTTGGTGGATTTTTAGGCTCAGACTGGCTTGCGAGGTCCAAAAGGGTGCTTATATAATCCATCACAATATTATTCACAGCTCAGTGCATCTCAAAGCCTTAGTGACTAGAGGCTAGCTGACTACGATGCATGTGTGTTGGATGCTGGTGGTCATAGCATGCAAATTCATGTAGTGGCTCACTGATGCCAGGACACAAATAATCCTATTTAGCAATATTGGATTACTTTACAATGGGCTGTACTTTTTCTGTGTTAAGATATCAGCATATTCAGGGCATTAGGTGATTGTAGTCGGATATAGATACAGTTGAACTTTCATTATGGGCCGGCGTGTGTGCGTGTGCGTGTGTGTGTGTGATTCACCCGTCTGTGTGTTTCAGGCAGGGCAAGGCAGTACTGCCAGAGAGACTGATCCCTCAGTTCCCATCAAAGAAGACATCCCCACCTTCGACGAGTGGAAAAAACAAGTCATGGAGGTGGAGAAGGAGAAGAGTGAGTGCATACATTATTAAAACACACATTTAGATGCACGCACACAAATGGAAAAGGGAAACGTCACATCAGCAGCTAAGTGCTTTGAGTCCAGAGGCTTTGCTCCACGGCCAGCTGGAAAACTCAGCGGTAGATGATGATGTTGATCTCACTCTGTGACACGGGCCCTGGAGAGGCCTCTGTAGACAAAGGGAGGCCTTCACATGTCAGTGTTAATCTACATCTTATTGCTTATAGCTTATTGCATTTTTACATTGTCTTCCTCTGTCGTCTCTCTTTAGCTTCCTTCCCTGTGTTCTATTCCCGTCAATCTCTCTCACCGTCTCCCTCTCTCTTTTCTGCACGCCATGTGCAGTGGTCAGCGGAGCGTGTGCTCATGTGTAGTTGCGTAACCTCTCTACTTGTTCCTCTCAGGCGACACTCTTTTGTTTGTTTTTTTCTCCAGCGTCTGTAATGGGCCTAAAATGTATCGCTCCCTGTGTCCAGGTCAGTCTCTTCATACCTCAACCAGCGGCAGCCCCCATCCGGTGAAGAAGGTCCAGAAAAACTTCAAGAATAACTACGCCTCCGTGGAGTGTGGAGCCAAGATACTCTCTTCCAACAACGAGGCCAAGGTTAGACACCGACACACAGCTAAGGATGCAGACTGTCCGACCGCCGTCTTTTATCAGAGGGTGGATGAAAACAAAGTTTCCCTTTAAGTTAAGACATAAAGCTTCACCTGGGACAGATGTTATGTAGTCTTATGAGCACTGAAATCTAAAACGTGTGATGCTGATGCTGCTAATTCTCTCTCTCTCTCTCATTCTTCCGTCTCGTATTCAGAGCACTTCAGCTATTCTCATGGAGAATATGGACCTTTACATGCTGAATCCTTGCAGCAACAAAATCTGGTGAGTGAGCCAACACGCACTACTGGTACACTGACGTTAGAGCCGCAAGTGTCGTCTTTTCACAAGCGTTCTCTACTCGCCTCCATCCAGGTTTGTGATAGAGCTCTGTGAGCCCATTCAAGTCAAGCAGCTGGACATCGCTAACTTTGAGCTCTTCTCATCGACACCTAAAGACTTTTTGGTTTCCATCAGCGACAGGTAAAGTCACACGGTTCAGCTTCAACAAGTGTTAAAATGCACTGATGTGTTCTCAGAGGCATGTGGTGGGTGTGTGACGAACAGAATGTGTTGGGCTTTGCAGCAGGAAGCACAGGCATCCAGTCTAATTTATTCTCCTGCGTTTGATTAACAATTGAGTAAATAGGGAGGAAGAATTTCTGCATGTAATGGCCTGGTTTATTGAAGAACAGTTGAAGAAAACAGCAGCTCAGCACCTGTGATTCAAGTCATTTGTAAAGCTCAATATCATAAATCACAGAAGGACGTGGATATCCAATCAGTGTTGATGGTAAATGTAGTCCATTGAAGCAATAAATTCCTCACTGCCTGCTATGTTGACCCAGAAATCTGAGTTCACAGCTGCTAAATCTGTAGTTCTTTCTGCATCCAGCGCCGTCATTTAGTGTGACAGGGAAGTAGTTGGGTGAAGGGAGGAGCTACAGGAAGCCATTTCAGCTTGGATCTGTAGTAGGCGGGCTCTAGATGACTGTCTAAGCCTGTTGTAAATAAAACAAAAACAGAACTTCCTTGTTTTCATCGCTTGTATTGCAAACTAGCTATGTTACGGACAGAAAAAATGGCGTCCCAAAATATATATGCGGAGGCATTTTACAGTATTTCAGCTGACTCAGTTATTCAGCCATATCAGAGTAATCGGCCTCAGAAGTGCAGCGAAGCGAGGCCGAGGCTGCATTAGCTGTGCAGAGGACGAGACCGTCGGGGACCCTCCCGGCATCAGACGCTCGTGCGCAATGCATCCTGGGACATGTAGGCACTGCTCCGCTGGCAGGAGAACTCTGCTTTCTCGGTCAATAAAGCACGCACTGAGGAATTTATTGCCTCAATTGACAACATTTACCTTCAACACCGATTGTACATCCACAAGAAATTTTTTGACAAAACATGCAATAGATGCATCTGTACACAATAACCAACTTAATGAACTGAAAGTAAAGACATTGTAGATGGATTACAAACATATACGAAGAATAGATCCGAGAGGATGTCAAGCAGCTTATTGTGTGGTGACAGAAGAGTATCGATGAAAGGAGTTACTGATTGTGGGCGATCATAAAGCTAACTGGCTCCTCCTCAAACAGCATCATATTAAACCACCAGGACTGGTTCACATGACTGGTTCACATGACTGGTTCACATGACTGGTTCACAGGACTGGTTCACAGGACTGGTTCACATCGTCTTCTTCATCTGTATTATCAGCTCTAGCTTTCAAGCTTCTAGAGCTGGTGATGTCCGAGTCCTGGATTTCACCGTCGGGATTTATTTCCAGCCTGATCTCGCACCACATCTCATACATTCCACCCTCTGGCATTTAGAGACAGACCTCCAGTCACACGGAGCACTGTGGCATTTACACAGAGCCTTTGAGAACATGTCGAATTGTGTGTTGAAGTAAACTGTAGCCCCTAAAAAAATGCTCCTCTTGCTTTTCTCTTCCTCTGTCTGCAGATATCCGACCAACAAGTGGGTGAAGCTCGGTACTTTTCATGGCCGTGATGAGCGCATAGTCCAGAGCTTCCCACTGGATGAGCAGCTTTATGCTAAATATGTGAAGGTACTTACTTTTCCTCTTCCTCCTGCTGTAACAGTACATTTATGTCTCGAGGAGAAGAGCGACAAAACAATGGATTTATTCATCCTCGGTAGTATTGTATAATATATTGCAGCTCCTAGTTGATGAATACACAGCACACACGGACACATGCTTCATATCCGTGGGTTAAAGCTGTATTTAAAGCTCAGGGGACTCTCTTATGACTTCATGGTAAGTTAGCCATCAGCGCTGCCTCCAACCTCCTCCCTTCACTGGATGAAGAAATGTGACTCCGTGTGTCCATGACAGAGTTTCTCTTGTAAGAGCTGAAGGGTAGATACTTATTACCATCGGGTTGGTTTGTATTTGAGATTTGGGTGTCACAACCTGTCGGCTCAAGTTGGTCCAAAATCTGACAAATGTTGCATACAGTCTGGAAATGAAATCATTGGGGTGTGACGTTAAAGGATTACAATTGTTTGTCTTATGCTAAAGTCACTTACATGAACATACGGAAGCCCCGAGAGGCAAACAAAAAACTCAAGATCCCTTTTTTAAAGTCTGATCTTAATTGTTTTCTCTCCTGTGTTTGTGACTTAAGAACAGGGACATTTTTCTAAGTTAGGTTTTTATTCATCTGTGAAGTAGGGGCCAGTTGAATTTTAATTTCGCCATGCACTCCAAACACAAGGTATTTACATATATCTTTATATTGTGTGTTATCAGGTTATCTAAATCCTCTGGTTGTATAGAAGTCTATGAGAAAGTGACTCTACTTCTCTCTTGATTTATTACCTCAGTAAACATGAGTTTATGGGCAAAATCTCTAGTTATTAAATCTTGGTCCATTTAGAGTCAAACAGACCATAAAGCAGGCTTTGCTTTCGGAAGATGGTGCCAGAGCTGTATATGGCGTCTCTACGTCAGTCCTCCACAATCCAAATACGGTCACTTCCATTCACTGGTGGCAGAAAACCAAGATGGCGATAGCCAAAATGCCAAACTTGAAGCTTCAAAACCGCACACCACAAAGCGATGAGTGACGTCACAACGACTTGGTCCACTTCTTCTACAGAGCCTTTGGTGCACTTTAGCCTCCTGTGGCCAAAATGAGTATTACATTAACAAATAACAAAACCTTTTTCCCCACCTTTTTTCACAAATGAATGAAAGGGTAACGTAGAAAGAGTAACTGGCAAAACTATTCTTTTCACACACGGGAGTTAAAACAATTTAGATCAGACTGAGAAAATGGATCACCAGATGGTTTTTCCTCTCTTTCCTCTCAGGGCTTCTGTACTTGCAGACGTTCTTGCTAAGATTAATTTAAACTTAAGACTTTTAAACCATCTCTACATTGACAGTGTCACCCAATGCTAGTGACTGTGCTTTTCTGAGCTGTCTCTCCCCTCACACTTCTACCCACAGTGTTGCTCACTAAGTATTCACTCTGCAGACTTGTTAAACAGTTGATTAATGCTCCGATGATTATCCTCTTTATGTGGCCAGTGTGGGTGTGATGTGCGGGTGCTTCCTGTGATTCATGTGCTCCGTTATGAAATTATTTTAGTATATTATCTGAGTTTTGTCTGAAATGTTTCAGGATTATCTGCTTTGGTTTCACTGATCTAAGCAGCTGGAAATGTCCCATCGTCATGTTTTACATCTGCTTGTCCGTCTGTCCCTCTGTCTTGCTTGTGATTCTCTCTAATTGCTTGTTAGAAACCCTCTTTCTAGTCCCGTCCCTGTTTCAGAACAAAGATCCAGCAGAGTACCGGCAGTGTGTTTGTCTCATCAGAGAGCCGGACTGTAACCAAAATGCTGGACTTGCTTTGTAGCTTGAATCAGTCTTCACTGATTCTCTTTCTTTGTTTTCTTTCTCTCTCCTTCTGTCCTTCGCCTGTCTTCCTATCGCATCAGATGTTCATCAAGTACATAAAGGTCAGCACTCTTCTCTCTCCGTCGGAGGTTGTGACGTGCTGTGAAACGCACTCTTTGTAATGGTCGAACACTATAGTGGGTGTGCTTTGGCAGAGCATCGTCTTTAATGCATGCGAAAGATCTTAAACAAGTAAAACATGCACATAAACCACATCGTCACCGCTTGGCAATCCTTGTATTTGGTGGATTATGGGTGAATAGAGCGGGCACTCATATTAATTCATGCGTTATTGGCATTGGTATGTGAATGATCATTTTAATTTATCACTTTATCCATTTTCCCTGCAGGTTGAACTCCTCTCACACTTTGGATCAGAACACTTCTGTCCACTCAGTCTCATCAGGTAAGACAGTAAATGGCTCTTCCCAATTTCCTTTCTGTCCCTCTGCCTTTTCTTCCTGATGTCCTGACTCTAAATCGGCATTAAAGGACCAGCGTGTGGGGTTTAGTGGCATCCAGTGGTGAGGTTGCAGACAACCAGCTGAATACATTTCTTTGTCTCTTCAACGTGAAAACGTTAAGTCTCTCTAGAGCCAGTGTTTGGTTTGTCCATTCTGGGCTACCGTAGAAACTCAGATGGCTCTGTGGAAGATATAAAGGACTTGATCTAAGCTCATGAAAACACAAAGATTATTATGCTGTATTCACACTACGAGTGACAAAGCTGCAAGTCACTTTCAATGGCCTCAATTTCCTTCAGCGCTCTAATGACGCGGCGAAATCGTCAACAATCGCTTGTTTGTGTTTCACTATTTCGGGTCCCCTTCTCTCTCTCCCCACAGTTCCTGTTCCGCTCTGTATAAAAAAATGGAATTAAAACATATTCTTGCTGTTAGCTACTTCCCAGTTTTATTTAGCGACATAACTACGTCAACGAGCGTTCGAGTAAAACTTCAACAGCGACTCGGCCAGGATGCAGCTGGTCGTAGTGTGAACAAAGCTTTAGTTTCAGGTTATACACTAATTAAAAAATAATCATGAATATTATATTTATTCTAATATAATTCCTTTAAATCATACAAAGTTAAATCTTGGAACTATGATGTATTTTCAGTATCAGATTATTGAGCTGGCTGCATGTTACTCGTCGACGTGTTTGCCCCGTTCACATGTAAGATTTGCTCCAAAGTTCAAGCCGTCTCTTGCACTGTGCTCACACTTAATCTCACAAACAGCCAGAGGAACATGTACCTACATGTCATCGGGGGGCTTGTTCTCAAGGAACTGCACTTGGGGTTCAAAGGGGCTTTAAAAGGGTAAAGTTACTTGAGATAACATTTGTCTCCAGATCTGATCTGAGCAGCGTGATTTTAAACAGCTGCCTTTCCCAAGAAACATTCACCCTTAACCTTTTCCGTGTATAGGTTTGTCTGTGTAACGCAGTACGTACGTGTGTTTCTTTGTAGGGTGTTTGGTACCAGCATGGTGGAGGAGTACGAGGAGATAGCGGATTCCCAGTACCCTTCAGAGAGACTGGAGTACTTGGATGAAGACTATGGTATGATGGTGACCCGTTACGTCTTTTAATGGGACGTTTTTAAAGGATATCTTGTTCATCTTCTTTGTCGAGACCGGTTGCATATTTACCATTTTACTCCCAGAAATGGATCAATGCACTTACTAACATGAAACTACATTTAGCTGCCTCCCCTGGTAGAACAATGCATGCTCTGCAAATGACTGGACTACAAAGGACCCTGAGAGAAGAGTCAAATTACATTCTTACTCACCAACTCAGTCACCAAGTACCTTGTGCTGAAGTTAACTATATCAGCTGGCTGAGTTCCCTTCGTCGACTTCTTGTGATCTTTTAAAAAATTCCATAAAAGCACAAAAATGTTAATTTACAGTTGAATGTTATTTATTTGTATTGTGTGTATTTTGCTAGATATAACCTGCAGTATGTCTTCTTCTCCAGATTATCCACCTGGCTACCAACCATCAGAGGACAAGGCCTCTAAAAACCTGCTTGGCTCAGCAACCAGTATGTACACACACACACACACAACATGCATACACACGTATAGATTAGCAAAGACTCATTCACAGCAAATAAGCTACAACAGTAGTTTGGATGTTTTGAGGTTCTCCTCTACAGTCAGGGTTCTACTACAGCAGATGAGTTTATAGAAACAGACAGGAGAACCAGTACGGGAGCAAAGTAATGTTCTGCTGAGGACGTATGTTAGACTCCTACAAAAGAAGGTGCGAGCACGCTGCCTCCTCGGTTAGTTTGTGTTGTTGTGTGGCCCTTTAAAAGCCCAAAGTCACAAAATAAAACTAACTAATCGATCGAAACTCCTCTACTGTAGTAGAACACTGACTGTGGAGAAGAACCTCACAAACACACTTCTAAACATCACAACTATCCTGTAACATCGTAACACATTGCTAAATATGATTTTAAAGGGCTAGAAGTAGGGACTTTTTTTCTAGACTTTTACTTTGAAAAGGCCGAGCAGGGAACGCTTCCTCAACACGTGTTGGTCCACGTGGTGCTGCCTGTCGACGTATTTACCAGGAACCTCATGCCTTTCAACATAACGTGTGTGTGTGTGTGTGTGTGTGTGTGTGTGTGTGTGTGTGTGTGTGTGTGTGTGTGTGTGTGTGTGTGTGTGTGTGTGTGTTTTCTTTCAGATGCCATCCTAAACATGGTAAACAACATTGCTGCAAATGTGCTGGGCGGCAAACCAGAGCTGGAGGGTGGAACGTTAACAGGAGGTACTCATCCCTCATATGTGCTCATATCTTTACTCTGTTGTGGGATTAATAAAGTTCCATCTCATTTTAGCTCATCTTATTTAATCCACTAAGGCCTTCCTGTTGCTTTTTTTCCCATTCTGCTTCACCTTTCATTTCCACAACTCCCTCTGTGGCCACTTCTCTGAAGTTCCATCTAAATCCTGTTCTAAAGTGGGAAGACATAAATAAAACCACTGTGGTCTGTGTTTGTTGGATTCTGCACCATGTTAATAGTACTGATTATGATATTATAATATATCCTTGGAAATCTGAAATTTATGCATAGTTTGCAGCAGAAATTTCCACACGCTGAGTTAAGTGAACAATGTATTTTATATTTCTCTTATGGACGAAGTCAAACTGTCAAAGGCTGCAAGCCTTCTCAAAAGTGTAGATTTCAGAGACGCTTGACACACAGTAACCGGCTTATTTATATCTTAAGAGATGAAAGGCTCGTCATTATTACGTCTGTACATATTCTTTTATCAGTAACAAAAGGCCCTGACGTGCACTTGCTTTCATTCTCTATGAGCAACCTTATCACAGCTGAAAACCTAGTCATTGAAATGGAAACAAACATGTCAACATCGAAACATGCAAATATAGCGGATGGAAACATATTTAGCAAATAAACATTGAGCTCCCAAAAACAACAGATCAAAAGGTTCCACGCAGAATTGATGGCCATAAGAAAAGATTCATTCAACTATATAAATACTTTATTTTGGCAATATTACAGAACACTAGTTGGTGTTTTTCACATTTTACGCCACAGAGACTGTTTTAGAAACGGCATTTTCCTCTTTTCTTGCGCTCTGCTCATTTTCACTCTGTTCAGCCTCCCCTTCTCTCCCTCTCTCTGCCTCTAACCGCCGGCCGGTCTCGTCTCCCCACATATTGTTTAAATTAACTGCCTCTAAATCTGGGTCACTTTATTCCCTTCTCTACAGTGCGAGCATATGCGTTGCTTTGAATGTCCATGTGTATGTTGAGCGTGGAGAGCCAAGATGTTTATTTGGCTGTGGGCGGGACATCTCTGCAGAACTTTGGATTTCTGTGTTTGACTTGTTGGCAGAGAGGAGCGTAGATGAATTAAGACTGAGGGGGGGAGGCTATGACGCCAGGCTTGCTCCTTGGCCTGCTTACCCCACAGAAAGCTGCCTCAAAATCACTCCGTCTCTCAGCTTTTCCCCTGGGGCATCGAGTTAAAGGGAAAACTGGCTTTTTATGAGCTGCCACAAAAATGAAGCACTCTATTGAAATGGAAGTCCACAAAGTCAGCATTTGACTTTTTTCTCATAGGATGTAACTCCATCCAGTTCCAGTTGTGATTTCCACTTAGACCCATAGAGTAAGCAGGGAAGAGCTGATCCAGTTCAAACTGGACTCGACCGGTTCACAGTATTTATGGCTCTCCCAAACATGCGCTTGCCAGCCAGACTGAGAAGCAGAAAAAGTGTTTCTGTTCTACTGTTTGCCTCCTTCAGCCACATTGGATTGGGGGGGGGGGGTTTGGGGATTTCTGTGCACTCTTAAATAGTATCAAAGTGTTATTAAATTAAAGTTAATTGTTGTGTTTTCTTTTCTAAGTGCTAGATAATATAACAGCAGAGGGGGATGAGAAGAAGGAGAGCGCAGAAGATATGCCTGACACACCTCAGGACTCCGTAATGTAAGACCAATTAAAGATGATCGATGATAAACCATTATGTATGTGAAGTGGTTTCTACCTCACAGAAAGATGAGTTAAGCTAGAATACGACTAAGTTGGGATTGTTTTTTACATCACTTTTCTTCTCCACAAAAACACAAAAGTCTCTGTTGATATGCTCCTAAATTAGTGTGTGTGTGTCTTTGGTCCAGACTGGAGCCGGCAGAGCCAGAACACCCTGCAACCCAAGAGGACTCTGCAGTCTCCAGTGACTCTTCCACACCTTCCCCCTCATCCCCCGACTCCCAGGAGGACAGAAAGATTGTCACGCTGGTGGAGGAGGAGGAGGAGGAGGACGACGACGACGAAGAGCCCCGACAGTCTACCGTCACCCTGATGGAGGAGGAGGGAGAGGAGGAGGAGGAGGAGGAGGAGGAGGAGAAGAAGAAAGAGGAGGCGACGCGGCAGGAGGCGGACAGGAACCAGTGGGAGAACCAGACCTACTGTCCTTTCTCCTCCTTCTCGCTGTCTCTGTCTTGCATGGCCACCCTGCCGGAGCTGCTCCACCGCTGGTGCTCCGCCAGGCTGGCCAAGGAGCGACTCCGCAGCCTGAGGCGGAGGCAGCTGGGCGCTCAGACGCACCCCGACCCAAACACCCCATCCCTCACATACACCCCCCCGCCGATCCCTGCACCTGTTCCCACACCTCTCAAGGAAGCCCTCCCCCTCGCAGAAAAGGCTCCAGAGCCCAAGGTGCCTGTTCAGGGCCTAAGTGAGGGAAAAACCATGGGTGAGGTGCACACCACGCATCCAAACGCTCACATCCCCGCTGAGGCACACACTCCAGAGCTCAACATCCTCCTAGAGCCAAGCAGAACAGCCACTATCCCTCCTCACAGCTTCTCTGACGCCCACGGCTCCCTGGCGTCGCCCACCCCATCCCACGAGGAGGAGAAGCAGCTCCCTCACATTAAAGACGCAGCCATTGACCCCGTCCCCACCCCACCCCTCCCAGCTGTCACTGTCCCAGAGACGCAGCAGGGCAGCAGCGCCACCCAAGCTCTTACTGGCAGCTCTCCCACACTTGCTGTAGCTTCTGAGACGGCCTCTGCCGGTGCTGTGGTTCCCCCCGTGAAGGAGCAGCCCGTTCAGTCTCTTCCCACTGCATCAAGGCCTGAGGACCTCCTCCCCCCTCCAACTGAACTACCAACAGCTCTCCCGCTGACTGACACCCACACAGACACAGTAAAGTCAGGTGCAGACGGTGGGGACTCTCAGAGACACAGTGTCCAGGCCTCTCAGACTCACGGGGAGCAGGGGGACTCTCTCGCTCCTACCGGGGAGCCCCACCGGGTGGAGGACGCGGTGGACGAGGACCTGTTGAGCACTAACGGGAACGTCCACCGGACAGCCACGGACTTCTATGCAGAGCTGCAGAATGGAGGGGAATATAACGGCGGGGCGATGCTGGGGAACGGCATGTTGTTGAACGGCGCGGTGCACGGATCCAACCAGAAGGAGAGCGTCTTCATGAGGCTGAACAACAGGATCAAAGCCCTGGAGATGAACATGAGTCTGTCAGGCAGATACCTGGAGGAGCTCAGCCAGAGGTAAGCCACAGGACACAGGGAGCCTTTTGAAGTGTAGCCTAATAACTACATAGCACTTCTCTCAAAACTGTTGAACGGTTCCTTACAAGGTTGTCATTTTTGCATTTCAGATACCGTAAACAGATGGAGGAGATGCAGAGAGCGTTCAATAAGACCATCATCAAACTGCAGAACACCTCCCGCATTGCTGAGGAGCAGGTCAGTTTACACGAAGGCCATGAGAGCAAGAGTCATCGAAGCGTAAACCGTAAACTAGTTGTCTGATAGTACGAGTAACTTGTGCTTCTCAGGACCAGAAGCAGACCGAGTCCATCCAGTTCCTGCAGAGCCAGCTGGAGAACGTCACTAGGCTGATGCTCAATCTCACCGCCACAGTCGGCCAGCTGCAGAGAGAGGTACCTGTAACCGCTGTATTGTCTACAACTCACGTAGTGCTCACGGTCTGTTTATCGTATGCGTTTAGAGAGTTTGAGCTCAATAAACGTGGTAGGTTTCCTGCTCGGAATGATCTCAGCAACGATGTGTTTGATGTCTTACTGAAATTGAGCAGACGACATGGAACTAGTGCTGCACAGCACATCTGTGGAGTTGAACAGGGAAATGCTAAACAAACATAATATGTGACTCGTATATTAATATTTAAAGAACACCCAAATAACACAAAGAAACCAGCCGATGGAGGTAGAGGTACAAGCTTTCTGTTTTTGTCAAAGGAGTCTGGTTTTGACAACAGCATCGGAAGCTTTCTGATGGATAAATACTTCATACAACCCCACTTAAAGAAATCCAAACTATCCCTTTAAAGCTTTGTTTATGGTTTTTAACCGGCTAAACCTTCAGTCTGAGTTACACTCGTAGTCTTTTTGATTCTTCACAGTTCATTTTGTTAGTACGCTCTCTGGCGTTTCGGAGATTAATGCAGCAAACAGCACATAGAATATGAACGCCTCCGTTCATGCTCGGGGCTCACGCGACGTCTGCGGAGGCTCTCGCTACGGCTCGCAAAGCTTAATGTATTTTATATGTACTGTATGTGCACAACATTGTGATCTGTTAAATGTCTGACTTTCAGACTTGCACAGCATGTTCACTGTCTCCCCGTTGAACTGCTCCTCTGCAGGTGTCTGACCGTCAGAGCTACCTGGTGGTCTCTCTGGTTCTGTGCCTGTCTCTGGGCCTCCTGCTGTGTCTGCAGTGCTGCCGCAGCTCCTCTCCAGCCCCCCCTGCCACCGCTGCTGCCCTCCCCAAGAGCAACCACTACCCCAGCCCCAAGAGGTTAGTCTCTGTCATACACACACACACACACACACCACATATGAATAGGGCATTTTGCGCCTGTAGGCTTGGCTTGGAGTTATTTATAATATAATTGTTCTCATCTCTGTCATCTTAAAGCCCTACACCCACTTTTTAAATGGAACGTATTGCGTAACTTCACGTGCTGTCTGCTTGTTTAAGGCAGTCGCTCCTGTCCTGCCACTAACTGTAGGAAGCTTGACGACGTAAACGACTTAAATGCCAAATCTAATTTTCCCCGTCAGATGCTTCTCCTCCTATGACGATATGAGCCTAAAGCGCAGGGTGACCTGTCCGCTTGTTCGCTCCAAGTCGTTCCACTTGTCCTCTACAGAAGGTAAGAGCCACTTCTGCTAAACACACACACACACGTACACGCACTTTATAGTTAAGTCTCTCCTCCACCCTGCCCTCTCTGTTCTTCTGTCTAGTGTTTCTCCCTCTTCTTTTGTCATTGAAGCATAAAGCAGCTTTGAGGCTTGATACTAGTCATAGCTCATTGAGCGCTGCAGGGATGACGTCGTTTTAAGTTGGCACCGTCCTGGTTCCCTGACAAAAATCTGGATTAGAGCAGGAAATAAGCTCTGTGGGAAACAAACATTTAAGATGTTAACATGTTTTGTTTAACAGGATAATCTTCACAAATGAACACCACCTTTTAATGATTTTTGAAGCGTAAATCATCAAGTAAAATGCTAACATTAGGCTGCATGACTTTCACGTCACCACCACTAAACTAAAGGAGGACTAGTGCTCTAGTGAGGACGTTCAGTCGTCTCATTTAGACACTTGTTAGTAACCGCATTGTTAAAGAGCCTCGACATTCACCAGAGGGTTTTCGTTCTCGTGTTAACCACAGTCCTTACTTCAGGCATCCAACCACAAACACTGTCAACAAACCCGTTGACTTCTAAGATCGAGGAACCGGATGTGCACAAATATGCTGACGTATTTGGGACTCATTCCTGCAGCACTCGATTGCAAAAAGAGCTTCTTTTTTTTTTTTCAAGCTAGCTGCGTCAGGCTGCTGCAGCTTTTACTGCTCAACTGCCCACCTCCACATCCTATCCCAATCCCTCTCCAGCTCTCATTCAGTCTCTGCTGTTTCCTCTCACACATGTTGCCTCTGCTCAGTGGCTGAGATATGCCCGGGTGTTGCCAGTGCAGCGAGCAGCACAAGCCGACAGGGAGAGGCTGGTGCAGGCAGTAAAAGAATGAAACCTAAAACTCCCCCTGCTGTTCATTATCCTGTGTGTGTGTGTGTGTGTGTGTGTGTGTGTGTGTGTGTGTGTGTGTGCGTGCCCTTGAGGCTGAGAGGCTGTCATTGCCAGCTTGTGGCCACATGCAGACACGAGGAGTGTAATAATAGAGCATGGTGCTTCGCTGGCTCATGGTAGACATTTGCAAGTAGTAATCGATAATAAATTAATGCTTTTTCTGTGATTTTAGCTTCACCCTAGTTGTTTGTTTTAGTCAAATCACTTGTGTACAATAAGCCATGATTATAATATGGGTTTTTTTTGTTGCCGTTGCATCTTTTGATAAAACTACTTGCAAGGTCACTTCATGCTTGTTACATGTATGTATTCCTATTTGCCATTCCATCATTAACCTGGCCCCTCTCTGCCCTCCCCAGTAGGTCCCGATGACTTGTACATTGTAGAACCTCTAAGGTTTTCTCCAGAGAAAAAGGTACAGTGTCTGTTTCCAACTGCTGCTGTGGGCCGTGTCGGCCGCCTTACTTTTCAAGTGCTCTCTGTGTGTTTCTTTGTTGTTGTTGTTGTTGTTGTTTTTTCTAGTGTCAGTCAGTCTGTACTATAAGTGTGCTAGAGCAGAGAATGGCTTCTTCGTCAGTCGATGATTCTCTGTGGAGTAGCCAAGATAAGGGAGCAGCTGAACAGTGTTAAGATTCAGCCCACTCCAAAGGCCTGTTAACCACTTCTCTGCAGACACTGTGGGCATTGCAAGTCCTTCAAAATTAAAACGCGTCACAACGCCTCCTCTCCAGTTAAGACATTTGATGAGGTGATTTAAGCGTGGTTTATTGTGGACTTGTATCGTAACACAGCACTGATCAGTATAGAGACTTTATTTAGATCAGGAAAACGTCTTATAATATTTCAGGGTTCCTATATGTCCTGGAAGTCGACCAATTTTCCTGTCATGGAAAATTAGAGAAAAAGTCAAATTTCCTGAAGATTGATTTCAATATCACTAGTCTAGTACTAGTAATATTCTATATTGTAGGGCTTCCCAAAACAGATATTACCTTCTGTTTAAGACTGTATTAATGGTCAAATGGTAGTTTATGGACCAGAGTATTTTGGTTCTGTTATGTTACTCCTGCATAGTAGTACATGCAGATTGGATGCGTTTACAACTTAAGTGGTCAAAAGTCTGAATAATATGTTACATTACCCTATATATTAAATGTAACTGTGGTAGTTCTTATTATCTTATTTTATTCTATGATCAATTTCTAAGCCCGTAGGAGATGATTTTATAGATGAGTTCAAAGACTACACGTCTTTTACATCAGACATCCACAGAGAGGAACGATCTCTCTAGAGAGCGTGGGAACCCTCTGACTAGTTTCCTCCAAATCCCAGATTCCATCACTCCTGTGAAACTTCCCCACCCTTATGCGACCGTAGTGTCGAGCACAAAAGTGGTTAATACGCCGTTGCACTATTGGATGCTTCTTTGCGTTCCCTGAATGTGTTTTGTTTTCATCATTCGCTCCTCCTGTCTTTGTGTTCTTGTAGAAAAAGCGCTACAAGTCAAAGTCGTTGGACAAAGTTGAGATTCTGAATCTGGCCGATCCCTCGGCTCCGCTCACAAACGGGGGTCCAAACTGCAACGACTTCCAGCCCTGCCTCCCTGCGCCACCTCCCCCTCCTCCCCCAACTCCCCCAACTCCACTACCGCCACCCGCTCCTTCTCTCCCGGCGCCTCCCCCTCCTCCCTCCACAGAGGTGTCATCGCTGCCCACTTGCACCTCCAAAGAGTTCCCCTCAGAGACCAGCAGCTGCAGCTCGTCCACACACTCCGAGGAGTCCTACACGAGCCGCCTCCCCCCTCCCTCCCCCGTCCTCCCCTCTCCCTCCCCCGTCCTCCCCTCCTCTGGTCTGTGCAATGGACTTCGCCTGCCTTTCTCCCTGCAGCAGCATCCCGCCAAGTCGCGTAAGGAGAGGCGCTCGGTGAAGCGGCGGAAGTCGCTGCAGACGGAGCTGCAGTTCCCTGCCATGCAGGGAGGGGGCGTGGCCTCTCTGCCCAGCCTGCAGCAGCTTATGAAGGGAAACAAGGACATCAGTGTCGGGACCATCAGGGTGACGGCGGTCACCGGACACGTCTGAACACTCACACTTTGACACAACTTTCTATTTCACACACACACACACACACACACACACACCATAAAGGTAGCAGATGTGTGAGGAGGTGAGAACTAACTGCAACCCAAAGAACCACATTTCCCATGAGCACCCAGGCGCACCGTGGAACTGAAGTGGCTGCGGCGGCAGTAGCTCGACATCATCCGGTCCTCATCCACTCCTGTCAAAGAGCTGTTTACGGTTACGTGCCTTTATATCTGTTCTCTACCTTTTTAATGCTAAACATATGAAATTTAAAGACACTGTGGTGGAACATTAATACAATGTGGGTTTTTTTTTTCTTAATGGATAAGCACATTGTCCCATGACAGTTGAGTACCAGTAAATTTTTATCCCACTCATGAGCACAGTGAAGAGAGGTGCTGACCTCAGCTCTACGTTCCCACACAGGGGAGGAAGTATTGGGCTGCTCTGTAGGATGAAATGTGTCGTCGTGAGAGAGCTGTGAAGCGTGACAAACTCATCTTTATTTCCTTCTGTCTTTCATTGTCATTCATTTTTTATCCATTCTGTCTTCGTATTGCATCCTTAAACTCCTGCAGGTGTTTATGGGACCAGAGCGTTCATTTTTCATTGTACACCAGACGCCCTCTCGCTCTCTCTCTCTCTCTCTCTCTCTCTCTCTCTCTCTCTCTCTCTCTCTC